GGGGGGGGTGTCAACCAACACCAGGTTCAGAAACTTATCACTACCTGGTAAAGAACACAAGTACAAATACTTGTACATTAGATTTTTAGATGTATTTCCTCCGTCCAATCAGAATATCAGCTTCGTAGGTTTGAACCACAGCGCCATCAGTGGACTGAACTTAGAACAGCAGAGATGTAACTGTGCAAAAACCTGGGAACTTTGTATCGAGAACCAAAACAAAATCGTGTATCGTGAGTCGAATGCTAACTGTTGTGTGTGTGTGTGTGTGTGTGTCTTTGGTTGTTAGGCAGTGGCTACGCTGGGACCACACCGAGGAAAGGCCGACTCGGAAAGTTCCGCGTTCCCGTTCCGACCCGACAGGAACAGACCGATACTGAACTGTTAGACCTCATGGAGGAGCCACAAACATCGGTCCAGATCTTCCCAGAACTTTTCACCACATCATCATCATCATCAGAGGAAACACACGTCTCTGCTGACGCTCACACCACAGACACACGGGTTCCCCCTGATTCAAACAGTGACCTCTGCAGGCCTGTCATGGATGTGTTTCATGAACATAAAGTAGCAGTTCTGAAGGCAGCGATCAGTAAACACCGTTAGTTTTAGTTTAACTCTCGACTCCGAAAGCAGTGGGTGAGAACGTCAGACTCCATCACGACCAGACGCCACCTGCTGAGTCACTGCCGTCTGTGGAGTGTCGTTGGGCCTCTGTACAGACTCGCACCAACAGTTGGGAAACATTCCCACTAAATATATGACAGTTCTCAGGTCACACTTCACTGGCCAATGAAAGAGCTGGGATTTTTAGTACTAGAAACGTCAGGTGGTCGATGTGATCAGTTTAGATCTGAACCTGGTCCAGGGTCAACACGGTCACTGGTTCAATCCCTGGTCTTCCTGTGAGGAGTTTACATGTGTTCCTCGTGTGTGTGTGTGTGTGTGTGTGTGTGTGTGTGTCCAACCACAGGCAGGATGATGTTGATTATTCACTCTGACTTGACCACAGGTGTGAATGGTTGTTGGATGACGTGATTAGTTTTTTGTTGTAACGTAAACTGACAGTTTCTTACAGTCCACGGCAGCAGCAGCGCCACCTGAAGTTTACTCCACCAAATGTCACAGAAATGTGACTAAAGTCAAAGGTCACACAGACGTTGGCCAATGAGAACGGGTCAAGGTCGAGCGTGGTCTCCTCCAAACCTGTTGACAGTATACAGTCCTAGTGTCGTCCTCTGCTCCTACCTCCACTCTTCTTTTTTTAATCCTGACCTGTGATTGGTCTGAATGTTTTCTGGAGTGTGTATGAACAGAAACACACACTCTTTTCAACAAACATATTTTTATACAGAGTTGTTTTTCAAAGATCAAAGTCTCGGGGTCGAAACTCAAACAGTTATTTTTCAACAATTTGTGAAACGTCGGGTAGTAACGATGGAAGTTTTTACAATTAAATGTCTCAACGTTTTTTCTTGGTGTTTGTATTGATTTGTCTGATGTTGAGTCTGGTCCAAAGGATTCATGATTTACATTTGTCCGATCCTCCTGGTTTATCATCTTTGATAAAAAGATGATAAACCAGGAGGGGGCGCCGACACACCTCAGTATATCATCCTGACTATAGTATTACAGTATATGGTATGGTGATAGGTATGGTATCGTGATAGGTATGGTATCGTGATAGATATGGTATCGTGATATTCTTGCCAACAAACAGCCCACGTCAAAATACAAAAGCAAAAATACTGGGAAATATTTACAACTTACAAAGTTTATTCATCTGTTCATAATTACTTTTTACAAAATTCACAGAAGTGTCTTTGATTGGTTCTTTTTTATCCAACCATCGTTGACATTGATTTGGTCACATGTTCTGACCAAACAACTTTATTCAAACTTTCTGTTTCTAACGTCTCGTCCTGATTCATCAGTGATATGAACTCATCAACTTTCCAGTCACAGAAACATCCGACCAACCACGTCTGTGGAGCCTGGATTCACATTCAAAAATAAAACCTCTGGTCTTTTCTACCACTCACGGCTCATCTATAGGCTAACGATCATCAATGGAAACACACAAACACCCCCCCCCCCCCCCCCCCCGACCCCCGTCAGAGTGAAACCTTATCCCAGACTCTGTTTCTGATCTGGTCAATGTTTCTAACAGTCTGATGACGTGACCTTTGACCTACAGCTGACACAGTTGATGTCACTGCAGGACCAGGCGTCACAGTTTCATCACCGTCTCTTTGACTAAACTGATTTTTGTTTTTTAATCTTTTGGAAATTTGAGTGGACGGAATATATTTGAAAGTTTTTTGTTTTTTTTTTCAAATTTACCTGCCTACCCTGTGGAGCCCCCCTCCTCTCCCCGTCACCTGGGTAGAATTTAACAGGACTAACAGGAAGTGAAGCAGTTCATCAATGGGAGAGTCAAGTGTGGAGAAAGGGGGAGTAAAGGGAGACAGCTGCCCCCCCCTCACTGTTTCTCACCTATTGTCCACCACCAGAACATGTGCATCACCTGACGGCTGTGACAGAGGTCAGAGGTCAGGTCAGATGGCGTCTTCAGGGGAGGGTCTGTGCTCCTCAGGTGAACGGCCTCGCTGAGGAGGAGGAGGAGCCATGGAGGCAGGTGGGAAGTTGTTGGGTGGCAAGGGCCGTATGGGAGGAGCATAGTGAAGATGAGGAGGTCCGCCGGGCGGGAAACGAGGAGGCAGCATCATCCCTGGATGAGGAGGAGCCCACACTGTCAGGGAAATAGAACAAAAACAATCAGGAAAAACTGAACAGCTAGGAGTGTATGTTGGCAAGAATCTGTCGATAACATACCTATCACCATAACATACACATCACCATAACATACCTATCACCATAACATACACATCACCATAACATACCTATCACCATATCATAACTATCACCATAACATACCTATCACCATAACATACACATCACCATAACATACCTATCACCATAACATACATATCACCATAGCATACTTATCACGATAACATACCTATCACCATACCATACCTATCACCATAACATACACATCACCATAACATACCTATCACCATAACATACACATCACCATAACATACCTATCACCATAACATACACATCACCATAACATACCTATCACCATAACATACACATCACCATAACATACCTATCACCATAACATACATATCACCATAGCATACTTATCACGATAACATACCTATCACGATAACATACCTATCACCATACCATACGTATTGTGACACGATATGTATCACCATACCTATCGTAATACGATACGTATCACGATACAGGAGTGGCGATATGATATACTATGATATACTATGATATACTATGATATACTACGATATACTGTGGTCACGATGATATATTGAGTGAATGTGTTAATCTGCTTACTAGGCATCCCAGGAGGCCCGCCCCCCTGTGGCCTGGGGGGGTAGAAATCTGGAGGTGGGGGTCCATAAGGAGCTCCAATTGGAAGCGGACCATCTGTGGGTCCCCCTGGTGGCCCAGGCAGAGGTGGACCTCCCATTCTCAGATCTGCTTCAGGTGGAGTCCTTCGCTCAGCAGGACCTGACTGATGACAAAACACAGAGCAGGGAGTCATGGGTTTGATTCCCAGACGAAACACTTGTTGCCTGCAGGGGGCAGCCTGTTGCAGCAGAGCTGCTGTTCAAGTGATACGTGGGTTCAAACAGTTCCAGGTACCAGAGTGTTGTAGAGCGGGTTCTCCTCTGACACGGTTCTTACCTGTCTGTGTTCCACGTCCCCAGGTCCGAGGCTGTTCTCTCTGAAGGATCCGTCTGTGGTCACAGACACGTCATGTCAGTCGTACAACAGTGTGAAGAGTTCTACTGCTGTCGGTGCAGTTGGAATTCATGTGCAAACCACTAGTGACATCATCACTGACTAATGACCTTGACCTTCTCGTTGACTGATGACCTTTGGTCAACAGACCCCACTAACTCACCCGTCAGGTCTGCAGGGTGCGGAGGTCGTGGTGGACCAGGGGGAGGGAAGCCTCTAAGATGAGGGGGAGGTGGGCCAGGAGGAGGGAAAGGCCCCAGAACTCCTGGAGGAGGTGGAGGTCTTCTGTACATGGGACCTCCTGGTTCTGGAAACATATAACCTGAGAAAAGGGCGGGAAGGAAAACGTTAGGATTTAGGACTTCATATTCACACTACGGCGTGTTTCATATTCACACCACGGCGTGTTTCATATTCACACCACGGCGTGTTTCATATTCACACCACGGCGTGTTTCATATTCACACTACAGTGTGTTTCCTAACAGACTTATATGAACACACAAACCTGGAGGTCCTGGAGGTCCTGGAGGTCCTGGAGGTCCTGGAGGAGGTGGTCCTCTCCGATCTCTCTCCCATGAAGGAGAGATTGAGCCGCTCTCTGAATGTGGACCTCCGCTGCGCTCCAGCTCTCCGGGGCCACCTGACAGTCGGACAGGAGTTGAACCAACAACCACACAGCACATTCATGAGGAGACCAGAGCGAGTCAGTCGGGTCAGACTCACCTCTCGGAGACAGTCGAGTGGGGGGTCCGTCCATTAATGTGGGAGGGGACAAGAAAGCTCTGGTTTCTGACGCTGGACGACCCAGAGGTGAGGGACCGTACGGTGACCTTTCACCTTCACAGAGAGAGTTCAGGTCAGAGACATCACTGGATGAAGTTTGTCCTGGTGACTTCATAACCAAGTACTACACATCAAACCAAGTACTACACATCAAACCAAGTACTACACATCAAACCAAGTACTACACATCAAACCAAGTACTAC